CCGTTGCCCAAGGACACGCGCCCGTGCTTGGTGACAGACGGTGGAATGCGGCTTCTCCCTCTCCGGTCTGAAGTCCTGTTCACCGCGGAGCATTTGGCCAATCGGGGGCGCACGTGTGGTCACACACAGCAGGGCAGCGTCTGGTTCACAGCCGCGTTCCTCCTTGCAGAGGCGCTGGGGTCAGGCAGGGCCACCTGCTGCCACAGCGGGAGCCATGGGGCTAGGTCTCGCTGACCGGATCCTCCTTGCGGGCTTCCGTTCCAACCGAGAGGCCACAAGCAGTCCACTGTCTATAATGTGGGACAGTCACCTCTGGGGGTAGAACAATGAGCGAAAGTTGGGGAAAGTTCTCCTTTTCACAGCCCCGAATTCTCACCACTTCCCAGAGCGTGGATCCCGGATGACCCCGCGGGCCCCACTGAGTCTCTGCGTCTGTGTGAAGAGGTGGACAGAGGAGACGCCGCGGAACGCAGTCTTTGGGTCCGAACAGCTCTGCGGAGTTCCTTCCACAGAGGCGACCATCCCGCCTGTCAGGACAGCAAAAGCAAACAGAATTTAATCAACTAAACATTTCCCTATAAAATTAAATTGTAATTACATATGTCAGTAGAGATGCTTTTCCCATATCAGAAATCCCATACAGGCTTCTTGGACTGTGCTCAGCATTTGCTGCTGCTGGTGTTTTGTGATGAATATTTTCTTTCAAGTCAGAAAGAAAAAAATTCACATTTAAAGAAGGAAGAGATTTTGAATCCATTATAATTGACCTCACCTCCTTTCCATTTTATTCTCCTGTTAGATTTAGTGTAGGAGCATATCAAATGCATATTAAGCCAAATGCCCAGTGGCTAAGTATTAGAACAACGTTTTTCAAAGGTTGGTGCTAAATATCATCACAACATAAACTTCCTGGAAAAATGTAATTGTAGCTGCATTTTTATAATAAAAAATTGGTAATCAAATTTTAAAAGCATGACATCATAGACAGGAGTGATTATTCATATTATTGTCCATCAGTATTCCTATTTCTCAATTTAACAGTTTAAAGATTTGTGTGTTTTCTATATAGCATTATGAGCTTTCCCAATCTTTCCCAATTTTGCCACATTTGCTCTTCCAGTACTTGCAGTACATAAGGAAATCTTAATTCTAAGTTACATCTGTACGTTCAGAATGAATGTCAGATATCAAACAGCACCAATACTAGGGTGTCCTTTGTCGTGAGCATGCCCTTGCCCCCTTCCTGTACATGGTGGTAACTTACACAGTGTGGACATGACTCAGTGACGCAGGCATGTGGTTATTTGCCTTTCCAAAGCCAGAGAGCAAATTTTGGCTGAATACCAAAATTGAAGTCAAATCTCATTATGTCACTAATTCAGAGTTTGGTAGAACATTTCAATAAGAAAAAAATATTTTTTTAAAAATGGTTTTTGAGTTCTCTTTTGGTCCTTTTTTGGAGAAATAACTAGACATTTTACGTTGAAATCAATGAATTCCTCTAAGATCCACAAGATGGTGCTATGAAGTGGCATTTAGAGAAAAATTAAAAAACCATTTGGCTTCTAGAAACACAATTTTAGGCAGAGTCAAGTCAGACAGACATCATTTAATAACATCAGCTACAGATGAACACTATCTTTACATGGCTATAGTGAACCAGATTCATTGGTACAAAGGACAGCTTTACTCCTGTTGCTGCTTTTAAGTACTCTATTCTAGAAATTATACTTGTTAACTTTGGTTTTGATCTCAGGTTTTAAGTATACTTTGTGAGAAAACTAAGAATGAATTTGAACTTCGGCAAGGTTAAATCAGGAAAAAGTACTGAACTGAAACAGAGACCAAATTTCTAATCCCTGCTCTCCCCCACATTGCTGTATCCTGTCACCCTGCCTCTCCTGGGGCTCTTGGCAAGGACCATGTCTGTCCTGGAGGGTGTGGTGAGGCCCAGATGCAGTTATGGTGGGCACAGTTGGGTGGGTGGTGAGGGCACTGCGACTGCACGTCGTGGGTGAGGTCGGGCTGCTCCTCATCCTACATGCAGAGGACAGTGATGCCAAAGCTGAGAAACCTGACCCCTCCATTCATTCCCTTGTTGGTTGGGTTGTTTGTTCATTCAACCATCTGCACATTCCTTCATTCATATGTGTAGTTCTCCATCTATTAGTGCATTAGTTCATTTGTCTAACACATTTTTACGAAGTGTCTACCATGATTCAAGATCGGACCAAGGTCTAGAAATAAAAATAGAATTATCGTGTCCCTATTCAATCTAACAGAGGAGAGAGATACTTATGAAATGAGATAACAGTAATATAATATGATTCATGTTTTGCTCCTAAGTGTGAGACATGCTGGGCACAAGGACATTTACTAATGAGTCCTGGGTGGATGACAGGGTTCAGCAGGCTTCCCAGGGCGGGTGCTGACAGTGGAGGGCGAGGAAAGTAGCAGCTGAGGCTGGGGCGCAGCACGCAGCAAAGCCAGATGACAGTGAAGTCCAGGCTGTGCTCGGTGTGTGTCACACGGGTCGGGAAGCGAGAATTGGAGGAGGGCTGGGAGGGAATATAGACCCTGAAATGGAATGGGCCATGCCAGGAGGCCGTGAAATGGTCACACAAAGAGCACAGTGGATGTGGGAAAGTTGCTTCCCCTCTTTAGTCTGGGTGTCACAGCCCTGTGGGATTTAGTGAGATCCAGATCACATATTCCTTCAGCTGTAAAGCTCTGTTGTGTTGTTATAAAGCCAGTCCATTAGATTGTGTTAAATATTGCACAATAGATTTATATTATAACTATCAGTAACAGTCACAGCTGTAAAGAAAATATCTCTGATAATAAAAAATTATGCTGTCACATATTGACTTTCATTTTATGAATAAAATAATTTTTATTAATCTACTTGGGGTTTGAAGGCTGGACAGACTTCAGAAGATCGTTATTCTGCAGGATCGAATCTTTCAGATGGTTTATTACTATGTCACAAAGGCCGCCCCAGGATAAATTCTTAAAATCCTTATCCCTCAACTCTACTACCTGTGCTTTTACTAGTAAGCTCTAGAAATCTAATTAGGTCTCAGTAGTTTAACATACATTTTATAATTTGAATAATTATTTCAAAAGTATTAGTGGTTTAGAGAGTCTTTTGTAACTTCCATTAATCAATAAAAATTTAAACATTAACAACTGTGTGAATTGTGAGTGAAATTCAAATTTGTTAAAATCAAATGAATATTTGATATAATTTTTCTGATTTACTCATGCATTTTCATTATAAATTTTTCACTTTATAGTACTGAGCTGCATTCCCAGCCATTTCTTATTCTGAGGCAGTTGCCCAAGCTGTGCTCAAACTTGCAACCCTCCTGCCTCAGCCTCCGAGAGTGCTGGGATTACAGGCATAGGCCACCATACCTAGCACCATCAATGGCTGTATATTTGCAATTTAAGTTTGGCTTTAGAATATGGGTGGCTGAGATAACTACTGCAGACAGTTCTGTAGTCATTCAGGATTTATGATCATAGGTCAAATGGCATAACATGAGATGAAAGCAAAAAAAAAAGGATGAGGGTGTTGAAAACAATCTGAAGAATATACAAAACCCCAGGCGTCTCCCATGGGGAATGTGCCGCTCTTTTCCCTGAAACAGAGGAATGGAAACCCGGATGGTGAAGTGGCCAGGGCTGGGAGGACGGGGCTCAGCGAGCCAAGGTCTGTGGAGCTGACTGCATCCCTGTGAACCCTTTTTCCCCTCCACCGTCTAGCTGGTTTCTGGATCACAGGATTAAAATCTTTGATGGGTCATTTCAGAGTTGAGTATCCATTTTCCTCCATGTAAATTACCAAGCCTGCCCAACGATTCACAGAGTAACGTGGACGGTCCATGCTTGTGTCCTGAGACTGGGCCGTGGACCCCATTTCAAGGTTGCCCTGGAGCTGCAAGTCCCCAGGACTGGGGCATGGTTCTCGAGGTTCCCAGGGCACCTCAGGGCTGAGCCAGCCTGGAAGAAGCCCAAGGGGCCGAGTGCTGATCTGCGGCCTGCCCTCGGCCCACCTTATCGGCCCCTGGCAACTCTGCTCTCTCTCCTGCTTCCAGGTGGGACTGCTATGGGCAAAGGGCTGAGGGATGGCAGGGCTCTCGGCCCCTTCTGCCAGGCAGGCCTAGGAGTTTTCCTGTCACGTTGCCTCAAGCCTAGGCTTCCAAGCCAAGACAGCTGAAGAATGACTCAGAGCTCACGGGAGGATGACAGAGACACCCAAAACCCAAAACCAAGATGAGCACCCATGAACTCACCTTTCCAGTCCTTTCCAAGAAGTAGACACACTCTGTTTACATGTGACGAAAAGGTACATTTTAAAGAGTGAAGTCCCTTTCGGCACCCAGCTAGCTACACAGCAAAGGCCATGGCTCAGGAAGCCTCCAGTGGATGTGTAGAGTGGCGTCTGGCAGGGCTGGCTCGGGAGGCCAGGCCCACACGCCCCCACTTTGAGGCTGGTGCCTCAGGTACAGGTGGGTGAGAAGGGAGGTGCACCCCAGCCCAGGGCTCTGCGCAGGTCTCCGCTCCCCTGCACGTGGGACTGGGCTTCTTGGCACAGGCAGGCGTTCGCATTCCTATGCACACCTGGGGCACAGTGACACAGAGACCCACAAGGACGGGCATGACCAGTCACTGTGGTCACCAGATGTGGCCTCTCTCTTAACAAAAGCTGGTGATCACTGTCCATGGGCTGGAACTTTCAGTAAACATTTATCGATAAAACCTCGCGATGCAAAAAGAAATTCACGTTACTGAGGGAACAGTGTCTCTAAACATTCCCCAGCAGTTTTTCTGAATAAGATGATGAATTTTGTGAATTATAATAGCTTTAGAAATAATCTTAATGCAGCCCCATAATTAGAACAAATTTCAGGAAAAAAAGTCAACATCTATTTTAGGAACAGACTTGCTTCTCCTCTGTGATGTAACTAACAGTAATGAAAACGGCTTTGTTGCAGGTTTCAGGAAACACCCCTCCACTGCAGGCGCGGGCTCCACAACAGCAGACGTCAGCCAACATGAGCAGGAGCCTGAGTGAGTCGGATGGCGCGCGTCAGCTCCTGGCCCTGCCTGAAACGCCCCCGCTGCTTCACAGGGGAGGAGCTCACAGCTGGGCCCACGTCCCGCCGTGCTGGTCATCTGATGGAGGTCACAGGCTCTAGGCCACACGGATGGAGTGAAAGATGTTTCTGGAACGCTGAAGGGCAGAACATAGTTAATTCTGGCAATTTTGTGGGGCAGCTTCTGCTTCTTCATTAGGACAGAAATAGCCAGAGATGATTTTACATAAGGAAGTCACAGAGGGACAGCAGCGGGGGTGCTTCTGGCACCAGGTTGCTTTTCAGCATTTTAAATAAGTTAATAGCATAGCTTCCATCACTCCCGAATAAATATCCAATTATGTTGCTGAATTTTGAAACATCTTAAAGTAATATTTCAATTAATATATCGTTTGTTATTTTCATATAATAGCATTTATTGGAGCTCAGGAAAAACTTTGTAGAGAATTACCCTCCGAAAGACCTAAGTCTAATTCCTAATATAACTTGTTTCTTTTGAGATTTCACTTTTGCCTTTTTTTCTTTTCATAAATCAAATTTCATTCTATTTTTCTCCTTCCTTCTGGAGCATGAAAAAGATTTTATTTCTTCTTTAGTTATTCTAGGACAAATTAAAGTTTTAATTGTAAGTTTTAAATTTGGCATCGTGTGACATTATGAAATACATGTTCTATTAGTCATTAGCTAAAATAGCAAATGGCTTTCACTACTGTGCTTTCCTTTTATTTCTTTTTTGGGCGGGACTAGGGATTGAACCCAGGCCCTCACACCTGGCAGACAAGCACTCTACCGCTGAGCTACACCCAGCCCCTTTTATTTTTATTTCGGGAAGGGTCTTGCTAAGTTGCCCTGACCCGGCTGGCTGACCTGGAAGTTGTGTCCCTTCTGTCCCAGCCTCCCGCACAGCCAGGCATACAGACGTGCACCACCACAGCAGAAGCAAACTGGTAACTTCAATTGTACCAAGAAACTTCTCATTACCTGTCTCCTTGTCTTTTCCTAAAGCACAAGCTTGTAATCTATGGGCAGGGCCAGACCTCAGGGGATGCTGCCCTACAGGGACACTGGCCCTGCTTCTGAGCCAAGTGTCTGGTGAGTGAGGTGGAGAAGGAAAGGCCCAGATGTCACCTGTCAGGGAGGCCCAGTTGCCCTCAGGTGGGAGCAGTGGAAGATGAAGCAGCTTTCCTTCCACAGCTGCTAAGCCTTGCTGGGAGTCCGTGGGTGGCTTCAGTGTTTTCTCCGGAGGATGGGATAACACTACCCCTCATGTTGCCACCTGCCACAGTTTACCATAGTCTCAGAAAAGGCGAAGGACAGGGGCTTCTGTTCTTTGTCACTCCATGGAAGGAACTTTAGGACGCTGCAGGACTTTTTGGAAAGTGGCAGCTAAAGCTCTGGGGATAAACGCTCCAGAGGGAAGGTGAAGACAGTGAGGGTTGTGCGAGACCTGGAACCTCTCGAACGGCCCACGGGTGGGGTGCTCACACAGTGTCTCCGAGTGTGTGGTGTGGCACAGGACCCCGCAGCACCTTCGGATTTGCACTGCCAGGCCGACCTCGGAGGGACGGACTTGCAGCTACAACACAGACACCTCTGGGGTGAAATGTGGCGACGGTTTGACAGACATAGCAGGAGCTCCGGCCAAAAAGGATTTATCCAATTAAAGTTATGGGATGAATTTTGGCTGGCAGCATGTAATTACCCGGCTTGGAGCGGAGCCAGGATCCTGAGGTTAACACCCGTGCTCTTGCCAGCAGCCTCCTACCTGCCAAGGCTCGGCAGGGCTGGAGCGCGCTGTTGTGACATCTCGCACAATGCTGGTGACGCACAGCCTGGACCTGGTTTCTTCAGCGCTCATTATGTTCCTTCTTTTTATGCCACATTAGGCTCGAAACCAAATGTCCACATAGATGTCAATTTCCTCAAATCTGAGTTTAAAATTATAATTAGAAAATAAAAAATAGATTTACAAATTAATTTATTCCGTCAGAGTGGTTATCGAGCGATTATTTCACTGTAGGAGTGAAACTGGATCAGAGCGGTGATATTGAACCCTCGCCGCCTTAGGAGAAAAATGGACCAGGAGCCAGGTCGGGCCTGGGTGGGAGAGCGCCCCGGGCCCACAGACAGCCGGGCAAGAGACAAGCCCGCGGCCCGCGGCCGCCCTGCCTTGCAGCCTTGTCCCGGATGGACCGGGCCCCACGCGCGTCACAGACACGAGGAGTGGGTCTCGGAGGGACCGGGAAGGAGGGAGGGCAGCGGCGCGGGGGACCGGTCCTGGTCACGCAGGAGGCAGGACAGGGGCCGCGGGGTGGCCCACGCGGAGATTCGCCCCACCCGGGTCCCCTCTGTCCCCTCTGCGCCCCTCCTGACCCTGCCCAGGCCAGTGCACACCCCGTGGCCCTCGGGCCTGCGCCGTCTGGGGCCCACTCAGGTCGCTAGCACGCGGGACCGGCTGCCGCGCCAGGCGAAGGCCTCTCTGCCCGACCCGTCCGCTCCGAGCCTCGCCGAGGCCGAAGTCACCCTGCGAGGGCGCCGGGTCCCTATGTCCCGCGAGACCGACGGCAGGCGCTGATCTCGCCGCGAGCGCTGCTGGGAGAGTGCTCGACAGGTTGGCGCCGGCCGCGGAGGCCGGAGGGAAGGCGCGGGTCTACTCCCCAGAGAAGGTGGCTCGGCCTTGGTGTGCTCTGCTGCGCATTCCACGCGAATCCGCGAGCGCGGAGTCGGCCGGGCGGGAACTCCCAGGCTGCAGCCTGGCGTCGCCCAGCCCTGCAGGGCCCGGACTCAGAGGCAGCAGCCGCGGACACTGAGGGGCCGCCAGGCCGGCTGTCTGGAGTCCAGGGTTCAGGTCTGGCGTGCGGAGGGCCCCGCTCCGAAGGCGGGCGTAATTTCCTTTTACTTGAGATCTTTTAATTCTTTCCTCATCCTATCCTTGGAAGCGTGGAAAGATGAGTTGACAAATGCCTTCTAGAGGCCTAAAAACAACCAGTGCAGCCTCCACCACTCGTGTGATTGATCCATTGCCAATGGAACGGCTGCAGTTTTGGCCTTACCGAGTAGTGCTACATAGCAGGATGTGTGTTCTCTTTCAGTTCAAGGCGGAGTCCTGTGGAAAGATTTTAAACGGGTTTAGAAACTTCAGAGGTCAAAGAACAAGGAAGAACTTAAATAGTTTCTATTTAATGAAAGCACCAAACTGGGTCTCTTATTTGTTTGTATAATGTGTGTGGCATCTCCTGGAGGTTTATTATTATTATTATTGTTATTTGGCCAAAAGTATAGTTTTTATAAGAATCACCCTGGTAAACTGTGAAATTGTCTTCCTCATCTGTCTTTCCTGGATTTCCCATCAGTCCAGTTTAGCAGAAGGATCCAGCCTGCCTGCCTGTTAAGTGCACAGTGCTCACAGACGCGTGTGCTGAGGACCGCGCGCAGGTGGAGTAGTGCAGGTTGACGAGAGCCTCACGGATCGGCGCAGTCCGGCTGCGTGACCTGAGGGACCTGCTGGGTGTCCTGGTACCTGTGTTCACGTGTGCACCACCTCACGTGCTTGGGGCCGCCTGAGGGTTCTTCCTTGGACGGTCCCTGGGAATGACGTAGTGAGACGTTCATATCAGGGCTGCCTAATTCTCAAAAAGTTGGGATTTTTCTGATTAGTGAACTTGAAAATCTGAATGAATTTTAGAGACCAAAAGAAAGACTCATGTTTCTTTAATTCTGGGAAAATCGTGTCTTCCCCCACGCTGGGCTCCTTGGCTGCCTGCTCGCTCTGCATATTGGAAGCCAGAAGGAAATGCATTGTTGAGAACACGAAGAAGCAGCTCTGCCTGAAAGACAGAACAGAGATCACAGAGCATTGGTGGTGTGGCTCCCAGGTCACTTCTATCCTCCACCCTGGGCCCGGCACTCCTCCTGGTCTCCTCTGTCTCGGCGCTTGCTCAGCCACACAGCTCTTCCTACCTGTGCTTGTGTTCAGGATAGTGACAGGCCCCAAGGATCCAGGACGCATTACTACATAAAAGTCTAATGTTTCCCCAGGGGGCCATTTATTTGATCATTAATAGAATGAGCATAATAGTACAGTGTGCTTTTTATTCAGCAGGCTGAGTGAAAAATAAACCTGCCAGCTAGCAACTTTCACCTTCCAAAGCACTCCTACAGGCAGCGGTGCTGTCTTTGCCCACCGTTACTACCTGGACTTCCTTTTCTCAGGGCAGGGCGGGGGCCACGTGCACCTAGGGACGAGCCTGAGTTCCCAGCAGCTCAGGGTGGAGACCTCTTGGCTTCCCTTGCCACAGCAGCGTTGCTGTGCAGGATCCTGTGCTTTCCTCACCCAGCGACATGTGTGTGATGACACAGTTTAGATGCCACTTGTTTTCACTTTTCATCACATACCAAACGAAAGGTTTGCTGCCATAGGGTCATTTACATAGAAATACTTTGTTATTGAGTCCATACCCTCTTGGCAACAGGTGAGCATTATGATCCTAGCCCTAAAGTGTTTGAGAACAGCCTGTTTTAATTTCTGGTTGTTATTTTTGATGTGGTTTTCATGAGAGAGAAGTGTTTCCCCCTATTCCGCCTGTTAACTAGGAGCACATTTAAGTTACTGTCTTGCAAGTTGGAGGAGCTGGAAATGTCTAGGAGAATTCCCAGTAACTGTGGATTAAAAAATCCTTTGGAGTTAGTTTGCAGCTGAATTTTTTCCCTCTATTTTTTCTTTTTTTTGCACACTCTTGGTGGGAAGAGCCAGCCTGGCTCTCATTGTCACGAACAGTACCTCTGATGGGCCTGATTGAGAGAATGCAGAGGCATTTGTGAAAGCACACACTGGTGGATGCCGGGGTCTCCACTCATACTTTTTATCAGCTTATTAGTGGCAACCGCTCAAATGGAATTATAGCTATTATGCTCCATTACAAACGCCAAACAATTTGCCTCTGCTGAGATTCACAGTGACGGCTCCTCCCGCCAGCAATCCTCTTTTTATGTGCCTGCTTAAGAAATTGCAGGAGAGAGCAGTTCATTCTTTCAGTATTTGATTCAATTGAATCATCTGAAACTGAGAATAAAAGCTTTTCAGAAGAAGATTCAGGTTGCAAAAACTATAAATCATATCTTTTTGATTCAGAGCCTAGAGTGTGTTGAGAAACTAGATAAAAACGAGGTTGCCTGCTCTCGTTCTTGCCTCTTCTTTTATAGTTTTAAAAATGGGAGGAAGGTAGCACTAGTTAGAAGAGAGAACCTGTTGTTTTGCAAATAATTTAAAGGCATTTATTTTTAAAATTTATTTTATTTTTTGGTACTGGGGATCGAACTTGGGACCTTCTGCTTTGAGGCAGGCGGTGGAACCACTGAGCTAAATCCCTGGCCCTAAAGGCATTTATTTTTGAGTGAATGGAATAAAACTATATAAACTTGGTGTGCTTCCAATTAAGCAGTGTGAGCACATTTTGGTGGCCTACAAAGGTCTTAGGTAAAGGAACGTAGTTATAAATTTTAGACCTATACCAGGGCCGGCTCTGTAGATGACTAAGAGGGAGTGACATATGTTTATCTTCTCACATTATTAAAATTAATAGTGTAGGGCTGCTGTAGCTCTGTGGTTCCTGGGTGTAACTTCTTTTTCCTTTCCTCTGAAAAGATTCGTTGTTCAGCTGCCAGGGGACAGCGGCACGAGGTGTAATAGCATAGCTAAATCTTTAATTACCGCCTGAAAACTTTTGTCCTTCACTTTGAATTTGCTTTTGTAGGCTTAAGGGTGACTTTTAAGGAGCCTGGACCAGTCCTGTAAACTTCAAAAATAACTCTGGGTTTATATAAGGCTACCACACAAGGGGATAGCAGCTTTCTCCTTTGGGTTACAGGTCCAAGTGAGTCACAAGCCATGAAGCTGGAAGTCGTTAACGTCTGAAGGCTGTTGGTGGCCTCCAGATTGGAGAGGCGGAGTGGGGACAGTGTCTAGGGGACAGGTGCATGCACACTGGAAGCCTCCTCGTCCTTCCAGAGTCCAGATCTTGGCTCTGACAGTTCGATTTCCGGGATCAAGAAGGAAGTGCTAACGAGGCCTAGGAGATGAGGGACGAGGGCAGAGTTTTGGGTGGTACAGGTTGGCCGCTGAAACAAGTGGGTGCTGTCTCCATCTGTGCTGAGAGCCAGCAGGTCCCAGAGGAGTCTCCCATGGAGGCCATGCTGCCCCGAGCTCGGCTGCCTGGCTCTACAGGAAGATGCTGGGAGAAGCAGACGTCACTGCTCAGGAACCCCAGGTAGCTCCTGTCACTTTCAAAGGCCACATCCCAGAATTTTCCTGCCAAAGTAAATTAATTACACCAGAACAAATTAAGTATTATGGTTCATCACAGAAAAAAAATCTTTGCATTTTTGTGATGTTTTCTTTGCAGGACAAAAACACCCTAAAGTATCTGCACCAAGTATCTAAGAGCTCGGTCATTGCTGTGGCAGGTTCTGTTGATAAGTCGGGGAAGAGCGGGTTCCTGTCTTTACAGATGTGTCTTCTTTTGGTACAGGGCAGCCTTCAGGTGTTCTGGAGCCCTCCTCAACCCTTGACATCCTGCATAGTCCTCAGCGCTGCCCTCCACTGGGGAGACTCTCCCCCAGCCTGCGTTTCACTGTTTTCTAAGAATGTGCCTCTCAGACCTCGGAATTCCCTCTTTGTCCAGTTAATCACGGCATCCAAGGTTTCTCAATTTGCCTTTGCTCCTTTGTGGTTAAGGAAGACATGCTGGGGCTTCGCCTGCGAAGTAATGGTGGGGAGAGGCCTGGGCGGCCTGGTGAGCTGGTGAGGAGGGAATGCTGGCCTGCTGGGTTTTGTTTGGGAGCTGAGATCTTGAGTTGGGCCATGGATTGAAGGGAAGGGGCCTCCATGTCTACACAGTGTTGTGAGGTTTGGAGGCACAGCTTGAACCAGAAGAATCACAATTATGTAAACAAAAGCCTGTTTTTTCTTAATATTGCTTGGTAGAAGATCCAGAATATTTTCACAAAACTTGTTTCCAACTTGGCAAATGTCTTCTTTCCAGGTGTGTTTCCTTGGAGATTGAAGAGCTTTTGGATGACTCTCCCTAAACATGGGTCATATTGTCTGAAGTGTCAGTCTCTACGTAAAGACATGAGATCTGCTTTGATCTCAGCTGCTGAAGTTGTCACACTGCATTGCTGATGGAGACTCAGCCTGATGATATAAAACTCCCAGGTGTTGGTATTTAGATATAATAATTCAATGGAAAATCTAATTACTAGGTAAGAAGAAATCTAAAGTACATACCTCAGTTCACTAATGCTTCTGTTTGCGAACAATTTGGTTTAGAATCAGAAGTGTTTGGCAAAGTTTTGCTTCTGCTCATAAACTCTGCACTGGTGACGAACACGGCCACAGCCTTCTTCCTTACACAAATGTGAACACAGCCATCTTCTCCAGAACTAGAGACGGAATTATGTTCCTCAACCAAGGCACCACTGTATTTATGCTTTTAGAAGTTTATAGTTTGGGGGTATATACATTTAAATGTAGTTACCCACAAATCATTCTGAAACTAATAAGAATATTTTCAGATTAATTGGAAAAAATTTTACAGTAATCAATTATAAAAAAACACAATTGTTTAAGGCCAACAAACAATGTATAATTCCTCCACTTTGGGAAGGGAAAAGCTAGAAAACGTGAAGTTTTATGACTGCTGGGAGGTGGGGTGAGGTAAAAATATCGAGTCTTTTATTTTTAATTATTTTGGATGAAACAGATGACAAAAGAAAAGCAACTTGTGGACAAACAAAATCATAGCTGCTTCTTTCGCTGTGATTGAAAGTTCGGTGATGGTTTTCACAGAATCGCATTTTGGCTGGTGGCCCACAGGCCAGCACAGGAAAGTTGAGAGGGACCCAGTCCTGCCTTGGGGTGGAGGACCTGGTCCCCTTCACCCATCTCTGGTGCACAGTGGAAGAGGATGGCGTGGTGGCCGGAAAGAGGAGAAGGTTTGGGGTTGTCATTTCCTGCTGGAAACTGTTTTTACAAACACAAGCAGCCTAATCACTCCACAGCTCCCTGGGAAGAGCTGACCTGGAAGAGCCGTGTGAACACAATGCGCTCTGTGGTCATCCTTCTGCTTTCCCCACAGCCCTGGGGACATTGACTTCTGTGGGATGTGGCCAGAGAAAAGTCATCAATGATTTTGCCCTTTACAAATTCACAATAGGTTATGAGGAACAAACAGTAGTTTCTAATGAGTTCCCTCGACTCGGGTGCAGGAGGAAGCCATGTTCTGCCATCTGTGTCCTATTTGCTTGAGCAGGGTAATGGTAAGGTTGAAAAACCACTTAAATGTTAACTCCTACCTCCCTTTCCTCTGATCCCCCCCCTTCTTTGTGCATAAGTCTTTCTAAGATTTCCTGAGAGCTGACCTGTCACGTGCATAATTTCAACCCCAGGTGTAAATTTAATTTGGAAATTTTGAGCTATGTCACCTGAGGTGTTCTTGAATTAGGGAAGCTGGAGAACAGAAAGACCTTTGGCTTGGGTCGTCTTGCTATAGGATGGCTAATTACGAAAGGGAGGAGCACAGAACCCTTGGGGGGGGGCGGCAGAAGGGTAATTGCATTCATTCATTCTCCCTACGACCTCAGAAACCCCTCTCTGATGTTGCCTCCGTTTTACTCAATAGAGAATTGTCTAGGATTTGGGATATAGACTTGGACTTCAGCTGAGCTCCTTCAAGTACCAGAAACAGGAAATGTGAGTGGCTCCCAAGAGAAGCCATGAGACCCCAGGCTGCATTTTAATGTGACCTGACAGCGAAGGGTTGGGTCCCAAAGAAATCTTGGCCCAACACTGGCTTTGTTTTTGATCCAAGAAAGAGTTAAAGTTCATCATGGAGGAAAATATGTTTAACACAAAAATGAAGAATTCAGAGTTGTCCAGACCAGAATAATGACTTTGTCTTCAAAACAATTATGGACAATTACATTAACGCCCCAATTAGCGAGTACACGAAGTTCTTCCTTCCACCAGGGCTCACCCAGATGTTCCTTCAGGGTGGGGACGCTTGGGAGCCTGAGGTTGGACACAGCGTTCCCCCTCCCATGCCCTTTTGCTCTTCTGGCAGCTATTGTACCTCATGATTTAAACATGGACATTTCTAATTAAATGAGAGCTCAGCTGCACTCTTGAACTAATTTATAACATTTGATTTGAAATGTAATAGCTTCAATCTTCATCTGATTAAAAACAGTCATATACTGTACATGGTTACTATTTTGATGCTCCAACATGCAGTTTTTATTTTTACATTCCCCTTTCTACACAGCTGTTCATCCAATACATCCAAATTTTAAAGTTTGTGTGTGTGTGCATGCTGAGACATTCTGACGAGGTGGAAGTAAAGGGATATTAGTCCTGGAGTGACCCCTTTTTAGGGAATCCAACTTTCAGAGAACTTAGGTAACACAGGACACTCTGGTGACTTAAAAACAGTGAATGTTGATATGTGTTATTCAGATATGCAAAAATTCTGCAGTTTTTTTGTATCAGCTGTAAGTTACTTATACCTTAAGGGAGGAGTTCTTAAAGTGAGTTCAAAGCTGATGTTCAGGGGATTTATGTCAACATTACGTGTATGTTTCTAGCCTGTGCTTTTGTGTGTGCAGAACAGAAACACATAGTTTATGTATAATTTTCTCTGGAGAACTTCTAGAATAAAGAGAGAAGTGATGCAGAGGTGAGAGCTGCCTGACCTCAAGAATGGAGAGGAACTCGTGTGGCTGTAGACCTTACACAGGCAGAGTAGGATGGGGAGAGAGGTCATAGTCCTCAGAGCCCTCATTATGAAGCTCTAGCTGCTGCACTGAGGAGTTCCAAGCTTTTCCCAAAGGCAGTGGGAACCATCAAGAAAATGGTGTGGCTGGCTCTGAACACAGGACAATCCTCTTGCCTGTGTGGAAGAGGACGGATGTGGGAGAGAAGAGAGAAGCGGGGAACTCACTGGAGAAGCTGATTTGGAGCCTTAGAAAACTCCACGGAGTGCTGGGCGGGTCACCAAGAGGGTGGGATGGTGGGATGGTGTCGTCTTCACACATCCTGAGGAACGGGAGTGGGGAGAACATGAGTCCCTCTTCACACACTCATCTGACTGTGGGGTTAAAACCTAGAGCTCAGGAGACGCTTGAATCAGTCCGTGTTTGTTTAGGGCATGTAAAGTTTCTCAATACTTTAGACTTTGGCTTTCATTTTCTGTAAAAACCACATTTGATAGTTTAAGTCATATCTCATTTTTTTCCCCATAAGGTCTAAAAATTTTTTTCCTCCCTCCTCTTCATTTTTCTTCTTTCCCTTTCTTTCCTGCTTTTTTGTTTTTCTTCAAATCAAAATAACGCATGTGTCTAAAAGTCAAATATTCTATAGGATTTATTCCAAAAATTCTTTATTACCTCCTTCCCCTCTTCTCTCCATACATACACTTTAATTTCCTTCTCACAGAGCCAAGTATGCTCAACTTTAACTTTATTATTTAACTACAGATATCTAAATGTCATACTTACATTATCATACTTCCTGGTTTTTTTCAGTTTTAGGCATTATCTATTGACTTCTTGGTGCAGAAGATGAAACTTTAACTTCCTCTCACCCCACCCCTATTCCACACACACACACACACACACAGACACACACACACACACACACACTCACACTTCTCATCTTCCTCCTCTTAATATAGTCATACCAAAATTTAATATTTACTGATTATATTACTATAAGTATTAAATATTATTCACAATGAATCATTTAGAATGCTATTATTTTACCTTTTCTGCATAACTTTTTACTGAAATTGATTATTATCTTTTTGATTACTTGTTCAGTTGGTGTTTTATATATAATGGTGAACTGCATAATAATGTTTCAGTCAACAATGGATTACACATACCATGGTATACATCACGTAGTCTAGATGTGTAATAGATTATACTATCTCTAGGTTTGTAAAAGAATGCTCTACCCTGTTTACACAATGACAGAATATCCCAATGATGTGTCTCTTAGAATGTACCCCCGATGTTAAGCCATACATGATATACTTCTCATTGGTTTAACCCCAAATTCTCTTGTCAATAACTGCATTTCTCCATGCATTTAGATAAAACAATTCATGCATTGGATGTTCCATCAATTTCGTCTTCTTAAAGAGATATTTTCTAGAACTCTCTGACCTTCTCCAGTTAGGACCAACTGCACTCTGTATGTTGGGGTAATGTCATTGTGAGATCTCCCTTTGTCATCTTGAGTGTTCCCTTCCTTTCCCTCCATGTCAGATTCCTTTGTTCCCAGAGCCCAAATAACTCTCTCTAAATGTCTGTCTGTCTCTGTCTCTGCCCCAACCCCTGTCTTAGTTTATGCCCTTTTTATGGTGGAATATATCTCTGTTTTCTAGAATAAAATATAAATTACAGTTTTGGGACCTTGCATTTCTTAAGATTCCATTACTTTATCTTCACAATTGTTTGTTTAGCTACGTATAGAATTCTGGATTAGAAATAACTGTCCTTTGCTTTGGAGTCCTTGTGTCAGTCATTGAGTTCTTATGTCCATGTTGCTATTGGAACTTCTGAAGCCTCTTTGATTTCTGATCTTTTGTATGTGACTGATATTTCTTTCTAGAATCTTATGAGACTGTCACTTTGTTTCCAGTGTTCTGACTTTTCTGTGATGGAGATTTCTGTGACATACCTCTGTATAAATCTCTTTTCATTCATTATGCTGGGTACTTATTGGACTCTGTAATCCTTAAACTCTTGTACTTTGGTGCTGGAAAATTCTCTTTAATTAATTCATTGATGATTTCTTCCATTTTCTCCATTCTTCCTGGAAACTATAATTTGGATATTAGAACTCATCAACTCTTACATTTATTTTATATCAGTTTACATTTTTATAGTACTTTCTGGCATATTTCCTATACTTCATATCCCAAGTGTTCAGTAAAATTTTCATTTTTTAATATTAATTTCCAAGTGCTTTTACTCACTCTCTGAATATTTCACTTTATTTGTTAAAATGCTATCCTGGCTTTACTTCATGAATGCATTACCAAAAGGTAGTTTTGGCCTCTTCTTCCTGCATAACGTCTGTGTCTTCCCTGCCCTCAAACAGTTGCTTTTCCTCTGCTTGTCTTCCTTGGATGTCAGTTGATCCTGGTTGGCTGCTGACCCTGAGTGGACATCAGTGGACACTCTGAGTGGATACACATCCTGTGTGTATATATGGTTTGTCCAATGGAGGGTGATCTGGCTTGGTTGTTTCTTTAGCAAACCCCTATGTCAGTATCTTTTCACTCTTTCCTCTGGGCTGTTGAAGTTCTCCAGAGAAGTGTCTTCCAGTCCCAGCCTGGAGTGTAGACCCATCAATGAGTGTCATGGCATGGGATAAAAGGACTTGGCATTTATATGTCAATATTCTCTGAATTCCTCTCTTCATTACTCACCCTTGTCCTCAGCAGTGCCCAGGATTCCCAGCCAGACACCTCTGCCATCTCTCCAAGGTGGGGATAAAGTAGTTGCCTGTCTGTGTGGAGTGTGGAATGGAGACAGACTTCCTACCAGACTTCTTCTTTGGAGGTTCCTCCGTAGGTGAGGCTTCCAGTCCAGCTCATTTTCAGGCGTTTGTGGCATGGGTCAGTTTGCTTCTCTGCTGTCCTTCATGCTGCCTAGGGTCTGTTCAATCACCTACTGCTTGTGTATCTGCTCCCCAACTTCCAACACAGTGCCTCTCCTTCCATTTCTGTTTGTTTGATGGAGTTAATGCTTTAAAAATAATCTTTTTGCCAATTTTTTCTTGGTGTTTTTGGTAGAAGTCAAAATAGACATATGGATTTACACTCTTACCTTTAGCTAAAGTCTTTACTATCATTATTGGTGATTTAAAAAATTATCTTGGATCTTCAGTGATTTCATTTAATTTGGAATCATTGGTAAATTTACAGGAACACTCTTCTTTGAACTGAATTAGATTTCAGTATTGAAGATATTTAGCCTGAATTTCTGGGCTTCTATAAATTTTGTCTACATGACTCTGAAGGACCATTGTGTTTCCTATGTCTTCTACACCTCTTTACTAACTGTTTGCAGATGCAGGAGACAGGCTCTGGTTTCACATGACCCTGTTGTTCACACACACAAGCTTTTATGAGAGGACCGAGTAGAGGTGGATGGGAAGTGTCAGGGTAGAAGATGCTCAGGGAAATCCTCCCAGCAATTTCCCAGTGAAAACAGGCTACCTATCTTGTACTTTTAGAGCACTGAGCTTTAAAAGTCTGTACCATAATGTGATTTTTGTAAATTATACGGAAATTAGCTTTTTAAAAATGTCATTGATCAAATGCAATAATGTTTATACCATGCTGTGGAGATAGAGGTTATTATTTAGGAGATAGGAAAGAAAAAAATGCTAGTTAAGGAAGTTATATGAATAGAGAAATAGCTTTCATGGTTGATTTTCAGTTTTTGGATTTCTCTTCAAATATATAAAACCTTAATGAGTTTAACTAGAACAGGCAGCCTTGTGGACATTGTCTCAAGCATCTTATGCCTCGGAGGACTTGTGCCACGACAGTCACAGGGTGTCCCCACTGTGGGCGCTGTGAGACCCTGTGAGTACCAGTCAGATTCCAAGACTTCTGCATTCCGGTTTTCTTTTGCCCGGGAGATTGCCTCAGGAGGCAGCCCTGGATTTGGTTGAGGTTTGTCGGTTCAGCCATGGGCTTCTGATACAGTTCCTGCCCTTGTTGCTGTAGCATGGAAACAATATCTGACTTGGAAGAGAGCTGCAAGCATTTAGTAAAAATCACAAGATACTTCCATGTGCACAAAATGGGAAACTAAGGGGTTAAGCTGTGGGAAAGCACTGAAGGTATGAAGACTGATTTCCAGTGACTTTCAGACATGTTAACCACGGAGGGGAGTTTCCAGATCGTTCACGGGGGCATGTTACTACCAGCTTCAGAAGCACAGGAAGGGTACAGCTGCCGCCCTGAAACGGGTACCGACAGGAAGGACAAGGCTGGCCGGGAGACCTGTGGTCAGGTGCAGATGAACCCTGCTGTGCTCGGTGGAGCTGCCTCTGATGCCTCTGCTGCTGCTGAGGGGCTCACGATGCACCCACAGGGC